ACCTTAAATGGTTTTGTGAGGTGAAAAGAGATAACAGCTGTAAACCAGTGATTCTAATGTCCAGCAGGTGACTAGAACTTAATTTATAGCATAAGCACATACACAACACAAACACACACATACACATACGCATGATATATACATACACACATCTGTAGACACACACACAGTTATACACATACGTACACACAGGCATGCATACACACATGTGTATGTACATAGAGCCACCAATACACACCCATACACACATGCAAATACACACACGCACATGTATGCTCACATGTGCACACCTACACACATGCATATACACATACATGATATACACACATGCATATACACATACATGATATACACACATGCATATATGCAGGCATATGCACACCGATTACACACATGCACACATGCATATACAAATACACACACACATGCACACAGACACACATACTCTTATTTAATTCTTGCTCCTCGTTTTGCAGGGCCAGTGCTATTTAGGAATTTAAAAGTGTCTCACAACCTAATTTTAACACATCGTTACGCTAGTTAGTAAATGTTTTTAAATTACAAGTTAACACAGTTTTTACCAGTGAGTTTGATAACGGATTGTTTTCCCATATTAAATTTTCTCAGGCAGAGTCTGTCCTTGGCCAGGCAGTTGGTCTGTCGCTTGGCCCCTCGACTCCTGTTCCTCTTGGGGAGCCCCCGGCAGCTCTTACTGGCCCCCTCTCTCTGCTACCACCACACAGCCAGCCAGGATGGGTCTCCCTGAGAGTGTGTGCTGTGGCCACCGGCCTGTCCTGGAGCCATTTGCCGGTGATTAGAGGACTCCCAATGCCCTCGGAGTCCCCAAACATGGTTTTCTCTAAGGTAGAGGCCCTGTAGAAGGCCTGCGGGAGATGTGTGTGGTGTGTTTGGAGAACTGAACACGGCCTGGCATTTCTTAAATTCTATAGTGGGGGCGGCTCTCCCTCTTTCCCCTGGTTCTGCTTTTTAGCAGAATGTATAATTAGGTGTTCTTTTCAATTCTAAATGAATTAATCAATTCACTATTACTTTTTGAGATACTCTCTTGCATATTTCATCGAATAAAAATTGTACTAGGAAGCCACATTACTTTATTGGAATAAAAATGAAGTTAACATTTTTAAATGCTATGCAAGAAATATTATTCTGGAATTAAGTTTTTCTTTTTTTATCTTTTTTTATTTTTTGGGACAGAGTTTCACTCTTGTTACCCAGGCTGGAGTGCAATGGCGCGATCTCGGCTCATGGCAACCTCCGCCTCCTGGGTTCAGGCAACTCTCCTGCCTCAGCCTCCCTAGTAGCTGGGATTACAGGCATGCATTACTGTGCCCAGCTAATTTTTTGTATTTTTAGTAGAGATGGGGTTTCACCATATTGACCAGGATGGTCTTGATCTCTTGACCTCGTGATGACCCGCTTTGGCCTCTTTTTAAAATGTGTGATAAAAAGATCTTTGAAATGTTAAAATTGAAATTCAGAGGCTAAGTTATCACTTACTGTGCACATATATTTAATCTTCATGAGATCCTAGTACATTTGCATTTTATTTAGAAGAGTAGGGTGGTGGCTTGCAGTCCCAGCTACTCTAGAGGCTGAGGTGGTAGGATAGCTTGAGGCCAGTAGTTCGAGGCTGCAGTGTGCTATTATTGTGCCTGTGAATGGCCACTGGGCAACAAGCAAGATCCCATCTCCAAAAAAAAAGTAGTTTACTTATATGATTTTAATCCCAAAATACAAAATACATATTAAAGTATCGCTTTAATGTGCCTCTAATAAAGGGGAGAAAAAGTCATTTAAAATATCTCTTAACAAACATTTATAAGTTTAACATAGGTCCAGAGAAAGAAGAGAATCAATCAGACGTGAGACCTGCACAGCTTTTGTTTTATGCAATTGCTAAGGGAATGAAGGCACTTCCAGTTAGAGGCTGATGTGGGGACCAGCACACTGGCTGGAGATTCCTCCTGTGCTTGCCTCGGTGGCACCCCTTGGCACATTCCCTGGGTCAGGCGATGCCAGCCCTGGGCGTCTGTGAGCTGCTGCAGTCAGGTGGTGGGTGCATGCAGGCATGTTCTCATCTTCCCTCTGCTGCTGCCTTGAACAGAAGGGACTGGCCCCTAGGCATTGCTCAGACCTGTCTTTGGATGAATGAATGAACAGTCCTCTAGGTCAGTGACAGTTTGGCTGTGTCCCATCCAAATCTCATCTTGAATTGCAGTTCCCATAATCCCCATGTGTCACGGGAGGGATCAGGTGGAGATAATTGAATCATGGGGGCCGTATCCTGTTCTCGGGATAGTGAGTTCTCACGAGATCTGACGGTTTTATAGCGGGCTTCCCTTTTTGCTGGACACTGATTCTTCCCCTTCCTGCCATCATGTGAAGAAGGATGTGTCTGCTTCCCTTTCTGACATGATTGTCAGTTTCCTGAGGTCTCCCCAGCCATGCTGAACTGTGAGTCAATGAAACCTTCTTCCTTTAGAAATTACTCAGTCGCAGGTGTGTCTTTATAGCAGTGTGAGAACAGACTAATATAGGCAACGTATGGATTCTATGATTTACATAATCAGATATATATGATTATATGGATTCTATGATTTACATAATCAGATATATATGATTATATGGATTCTATGATTTACATAGTCAGATATATATGATTATATGGATTCTATGATTTATATAATCAGACATATATGACTATATAGATGATATAGTCAGATGATACGATTGATATAATCATATGAATAAACTTCCTTGTTTTAAAGAGATGAGGTCTTGCTGTGTTGCCCAGGCTGGAGTGCCGTGGCGTTTCTCAGACGTGGTAATAGCACACTGCACCCTGGAACTCCTGGCCTCCAAAATTTCCCAGCATTTCCAAAGAACAGGAACTGAAACGGTGAGAAGGTTTGGGAAATAGTGAGTTCTTCCAGCAGGGCTCTGCAGGGCCATTGTTAAACGAGCTCTAATAGGAATAAACTAGGGAAGGAGATAGTTAGCATCTTATTAATATTTTAATTTACTAGCCACAGAGCAACCATTTCCCTCCCGTCTGTCTCCCTCTCTTCTTTCTACCAGAGCATCTCTTGGAACTCACTTTTAGATGCTGGATGCTTGAATTCCCCATGAAGTGACTCTTCCTAAATTTAAGTATGCATTAGAATAATACAGAGACTGTGTTCACGCAAGGTGTTGAATCTTCAAAGCAGACATCCATCTAACATCAAACTTTATTAATGATTCAGTAACAAAAACGCTGGGCAGAGAGATGCATCCCATGTTGGCTGGGCTGTTCCCAAACTCCTGGCCTCAAGTGATTCACCCACCTCAGCCTCCCAAAGTTATGGGATTACAGGTGTGAGCCATTGCGCACAGCTATTCTGCATTTTTAGATAGGGGTCCCAGGCTTCTTTCCACTAGTAAGTACTATTTGCATGTTTACAAGGAGATCTGGTCGTCACTCAATCCATTTGTGGGCAGTTTGGTTATCTGTGGTTGTAGGACTGAGGTCCTCATTTTCATGTTGGCTGTCAGCGGAGGGCCTTTTTCGCTTCTCAGGGCAACCATGTAGCTTGACTTGTGGCCCCCTCTTCTGTCTGCAACTCCAGCAAGAATACATTGAGTCTCTCATCTTTGAATCTTTTCTTCTCCCATCTCCGTGGAGAATGACTCTTCATGTCTAGGGACTCGTGATTGCACTGGGTCCACCCAGATAATCCAGCATGATCTCTGTCCACCCCCAGACCTTAGGTTTGTAACTTCACTACATACGCACAGTCCCTTTTGCCGTGTAAGGTAACGCAAGCACAGGTCTGGTGCCTGTGTCAGGGCATGGGGCCATGATTCTGTCGACCACAAGTGCTATCCCCTGTATTAGGTGCCTCCTCACTTTGTATCTATTATTGGGTTGGAAAACCAGAGGTAATCTTGTGATTATGCCTAGTGCCAATGTCTGAAAATCATGGTTACATTTTGTAGGTTTTTCGAGTTGTTTAATGCAGCATGGCTGGGAGTCTTTGTTAATCCACTGTGGCTGGGAGCTTCATCTGATTGATGTGATGACCTCTTCACATGCTTTTGCAACACAGGGGTCTATATTACGCTTCTTCTGCATACTCTAAAGCACTCAACGGTATACCTGCTGGGGTGACAGAGGTCACCCCCATGCCTTCCTCCAGCTTTATGTCCAAAGCTGTGACTGAGCGGCAGTGAAGAATAGATCTCTGAGCTGTGACTCCAGGCATCAGGGAAGGAATGGGGTGGAGTAAGCAATGAAGTGAGAATCAAAATTATGCAAGAAATAGGTTTGGAAAATAATTCAGAGTGAACTTTGTGTTATATGGGCTTCCTGTCCAAAAGGTCAGTATCCATGTGGACTTGTAAGTGAGGACTGCTGCGGCAGAGCCTGGGGGGCGAGGAGGGGAGCTCTGCCTTCTCTGCTTGTGCACCTGGGGCTGCACTTCCCTAGCTCCTCCTGCGTGGTGTGGCCAGGCCCACATGGTGCCAGAGCAGGGGGAAGAGGAGGAAGATGGGCAGTTGGCTGGGAAGCACACCCAGCATAAATATCAGAGCATTTCAGGCCATGGATTTTCCTGGGGGGGTGCCCAGGGGGTGTTAATAAACAGGATGATGGACAATGCTGGAAAGGAGGAGTGAGCTTGAGAATAGCGGAGAGTTTTTCTTTCTTTTTAAGTTTGCTTCAAATGATGGATTTCAAAGCCTTTTGTCCTCAGGCCCTCCATAGCTACTCCAGCCCTTCCTGGTCTCCTGCTAAACCTCTTCAGCCTGGACCCATGCACGGCCACTGTTGGCATTCCCAGCAGAGCGTATGCTCCATACATGTTTCCTGACAGTTCTGTTGATTCAGCCAGGCGAGCTGCTCAGCTGTTACACAAACATACAGGGCTCAGGACTCACCACTGCTCTTCAGCCTGAGACCAGCTGGTCACCTGAGGGAGACGGCCCTTCTCTGTCAATCATTGACCCATAGCCTCGCCATTCTCCAAGGACCCTGATTGGAGGCTCCTCTCCCAGGAAACATTTCCTAACTGTGCCACCCTCCACCTTTCCTCTGGCACTTGAATTTCCGGCAATTAGGGTGCCTCGGAAGGTCTGCAGCATGTCTGTGCTTGTAACCTGGAATGTCTACTGGGAAGGTCTGCAGCTGTGGAGGAGCAGGTGCATCCCTCTCTGGCACCTGCCCAGGCCCGAGCAGCTCATTCAGTGTGTCTTGGGAATCGGACTCATAGTCAAACTGCAAATTCTACTGGAGATTCTCACATGCCCACAGGGGTGAATAGCACTGACATATATTGTGAACTTTTTAAAGCCCAGGACTATGAATTATACATTTTCTATGCACATTCACACTTGTATAGATTTTTGTTCAGTCAAATCTTGTTGAATTTTTTAAAATTTTGCATAAAGATTTTTGTGCAGATCACAACGTGTGGATTTCTGAGAGCACTTTGCTTAAACTATAGATCAGAGACTGGCAAGTTACAGCCTCTAGCCAACCGAGCCTGGTCAGGCATGTTCAGTATGTAACTGTCGATGCTTCCGAGCTACACGAAGGCAGGTTTGAGGAGCTGTGACAGAGACCATGTGGCCTGCAAAGCCGAAAATATTTACGGTCTGGTCCTTTACAGAAGGTGGTTGCTGATGCCTGCTCGAAATAGCTATTTTTATGTAAAAGAGTGTGCCGTGCACTGTGTCTGCACGAGACGGAATGCGGTTGACTAAACCGTCTGGCTCTCTGAGAATATCTGTTTTAACCGTGGTGCGTTTTGTTTTCTTTTCGTAGAGTGACTTCCACTTTCCCGCTCCCTCTGCCTGGGAGCCGAAGGGGCTGAGCCGTCCACTCCTTCTTCTATATCCAGCCTGCATTTTGGTTTTGCCCACAATGTGGGGGGTAAGATTTTAATATTTGGCAAGGGTATGATTTGGGTTCAGTGTGGCGACTTGAGAATTGCACCGCTGCTCATTCTATCTTTGTCTCCTTTCCAGGAATCAGTGAATGTCAGCGATGCTTTCTACTCCACTGAAGATTATTTTTTTGGTTCAGCCAATACTACATATTACTACTTACCTGATCCTGAAAACTTGGTGTGCTCCTTGCAGGAGGTCAGGGAGTTCTCCAGGCTATTTGTACCAATTGCCTACTCCTTGATCTGTGTCTTTGGCCTCCTGGGGAATATTCTGGTGGTGATCACCTTTGCTTTCTATAAGAAGGCTAGGTCTATGACAGACGTCTATCTCTTGAACATGGCCATTGCAGACATTCTCTTTGTTCTTACTCTCCCGTTCTGGGCAGTGAACCACGCCACTGGTGCGTGGGTTTTCAGCAATGCCCTGTGCAAGTTGATGAAAGGCATCTATGCCATCAACTTCAACTGCGGGATGCTGCTCTTGACTTGCATCAGCGTGGACCGGTACATGGCCATTGTACAGGCAGCTAAGTCCTTCCGGCTCCGATCCAGAACGCTGGCGCGCAGCAAACTCATCTGCCTCGCTGTGTGGGGAGTGTCCGTCATCATCTCCAGCTCAGCTTTTATTTTCAACCAGAAATACAACATCCAAGGCAGGGATGCCTGTGAGCCCAACTACCAGCCTGTGTCGGAGCCCATCAGGTGGAAGCTGCTGATGTTGGGGCTTGAGCTACTCTTCGGTTTCTTCATCCCTTTGGTGTTCATGGTATTTTGTTACACGTTCATTGTCAAAACATTGGTGCAAGCGCAGAATTCTAAAAGACACAAAGCCATCCGTGTGGTCATAGCCGTGGTGCTTGTGTTTCTGGCTTGTCAGATTCCTCATAACATGGTCCTGCTTGTGACGGTCGCAAATTTGGGTAAAATGAACCGGTCCTGCCAGCATGAAAAGCTAATGGGCTATACGAAGACCATCACTGAGGTCCTGGCTTTCCTGCACTGCTGCCTGAACCCGGTGCTCTATGCTTTCATTGGGCAGAAGTTCAGAAACTACTTTCTGAAGATCATGAAGGACCTGTGGTGTGTGAGAAGGAAGCACAAGTCCCCGGGCTTGCCCTGTGCCAGCAGGTACTCAGAAACCTTCATCTCCCGGCAGACCAGCGAGACTGCAGATAACGACAACGCGTCCTCCTTCACCATGTGACGTGCTGAGTGACAGAAAGCCGAGTCTCCCTAAGGCATTTGTGAAACATACTCATAGATGTTATACAGAAAAAAAAAAAAAAAAAAAAAAAGTCTGTGGCCAAATTCACATGGAAAACGTGGGAATTAAGCAAAATCAGGCAAGCGTCTCTCCCGGGGGGCTGAACGTGCTCACGGGCTGTGCGGTTGCTTCAGGGTGCGGGTGGTTTTTGGCTGGTAGCATTTTTCAGCATGCTTTGCAAGGAATGTTTTGTAGCTCTGGAGTGTATACAGGTCTGGCCTGGCGTTTCACTAACCAGCCTTTGGGAAGTGCGGAATTGAAGCGAATTGCTAGCCAATGTAAACATTTTCGGAAATAGTCATGAAGCCGTCACAAATCACAGGGTCTTACAGTTACAACACGAAATGATAGCACGGCCCGAAAAACAAGCAAAAACCCACGGAGACCCACACATCACTCATTTAGGCAGGTCTTGGGGCATTTTATTTACCAGAATGTTTGTTGATGCTGGTTGTCAGCAGCAGGACCGGCTGCCTGGGGTTTCCTCTCATTTCCCTGATACAGGCGGAAAGGCAAGCTCAAGGGTTCACAGCCTGGAAGTGCGGGACGGCGGCGGAACAGGCATCCCTCCATCCACGGGGATCCCTCCATCCACGGCTCAGGTTGCAGTGGGCCATGAGGAAAGTGTTACTTTGCTTTTACTTCCCTGGGAGCTGTTCTCTGTCATGAGCGACTCTTCTCTAGACAGGAGCTAGAAGGATCTTGCTCACAGCTGTGCTCTGTGCGGCTAGCAGAGTTCCAGTGAAGAAAAGTTTCTCCAGAGATATTTGATTAATGAATCGTAATAAAATTGGGGTTTATTGTGCAGTTTAAAGACCAGATGTTTTCAATTTTTTAAAATAAATAGAATACTTTTTTTTTTTTTTAAAGAAAGCAACTGTACTGAGACAATGTAGAAAGAAGTTTTGTTCTGTGCCCTTAACGTGGTTGAAGAGCGATGTGTGGCTGAAGACTTGTTATGAGGAGCTGCAGATTAGCTAGCAGACAGCTGGAATTATGCTGGCTTCTGAAAATGATTTTAAAGGGGTCTGAAGTTTGTGATGGAATCAGATATTAACTCTCTTCAACGACATAGAAAGTTTATGGAAATCATGTTTTTGAAGGGTTATGTAAATATATGAACATTAGAAAAATATCAACTTGTGTTACAAAAATACAAACGTGTTAGGAAGGTACTGTCATGGGCCGGGCATGGTGGCTCACCTCTGTAATCCCAGCATTTTGGGAGGCCCAGATGGGAGGATCACTTGAGGTCAGGAGTTCAAGACCAGCTTGGCCAACATGGCAAAACCCCCATCTCTACTGAAAATGCAAAAATTAACCAAGCATGGTGTCGGGTGCCTATAATCCCAGCTACTTGGTAGGCTGAGGCAGGAGAATTGCTTGAATCCGGGAAACAGAGGTTGCAGGGAGTCAAGATCGTGCCACTACTCTCCAGTCTGGGTGACAGAGAGACTCCATCTCAAAAAAAAAAAAAAAAAAAAAAAAAGAAAAAGAAAAAGAAAAAAGAAAATGACTGTTACAAATTACTAAAATGCTGATTGTTTAAACCTGACAAATGTGTTATTTGAAACTTTATATTGTTCTTGTAAGCTTTAACTATACATCTCTTTAAAATGCAAAATAACGTCTTAAGATTCAAAGTCTGTATTTTTAAAGCATGGCTTTGCAAAATAAAACATGTGTTCCATACGTGAAATAGGAATTGTCTTTCAGCTTCCGGGTCCAGATGGAGGCCCCGTCCGGAGAGCGTGTCCTCAGGCTTCCTCGTGTCCTTCAAATCCGTTAGCGTTTGAATGTACAGGTCAAAGCAAAGTCAGTCGTTGTTTGGTGTGATCAGCGCGCTGATGTCATCTGTGACGAGGATTCATGCCTGAAGACTGGCTCAGAAATGCTGCTTATTTGCCAGTGAGCTTCTCTGCATTGTTTAAAAGTTCAGATAAATGCAGCTGACTTCTTTAAGCAATAACCTTTTTTTTTTTTTGAGATGGAGTTTCGCTCTTGTTACCCAGGCTGGAGTGCAATGGCACGATCTCGGCTCACCGCAACCTCCGCCTCCTGGGTTCAGGCAATTCTGCTGCCTCAGCCTCCAGAGCAGCTGGGATTACAGGCATGCACCACCATGCCCAGCTAATTTTCTGTATTTCTAGTAGAGACGGGGTTTCACCATGTTGACCAGGGTGGTCTCGATATCTTGACCTCGTGATCCACCCGCCTCGGCCTCCCAAAGTGCTGGGATTATAGGTGTGAGCCACCGCGCCCGGCCAGCAATAACCTTTTAAACATTTTAGGTATGATGTATAAAAATGTTTCCAAAATATGCCGCATACTTTATTTCTTCTTAAATACAGTACATTAAGTGACATACTTTTTCTTGCTGTCTAGAGCTTAAATACAGTACATTAAGTGACATACTTTTTCTTGCTTTCTAGAGCATCAGAACAGCTGCTATGGGAACTTGATGCTCTCGGGAGACATTAATTAGCTTCAGTGGTTCCTGTTGATTTTCCCCTTATCTTTTCACTGTCAGGCTCTGGCTGTCTCTTCCCGAATCTGAACCGTGTCTGCCGTTAGTCCTCCTCTCCACTCAACGCAAACATTATTTGATAAGTTTGGTGGGGAAATCAGCTATCTGCACTTGTCAGAACTGTGCATTAATAGGGGCAATGTGTTAGAACCTCTCAGTATTCAATTATTTCTGGATACGTGAGATTTTACTAGATGCAAAGTTCAACATTTAGGGATTTAAGCATTACCTTGCAAATTGCATGTGATTTTCTTCTAAGGACAGACAGACTGGATTTTAAATGAGGCCAGAAAAACACAACATTTTCAAATCCTTTGAAGACTTCTGGTAATGTGTGGAAGTTCCAGGCTTTCTGGAGACACACATACAGAGAATCTGGTCCAATGAATGCAGCGTGAATGCTACAGTACGCTACGATGCCAGCTGCCTGGGGCTGCCCTGACAAAATACCGCAGGCCGAGTGGCTTAAACAGCACCTCTATTTCTCACATTTCCAGACACTGGTTAAGGTGTTGGTGGGGCTGCTTTCTCCTGAGGCCTCAAAGGGCTTTTCCTCTGTGAGAGCTGGAACTTCTTACAAGAACGCTAGTCAGATTAGATTACAGCTCACCCCCGAGGCCCCTTTTAACTTAATCACTGGTCTAAAAGCCCTGTCTCTAAATATCGTCACTTTCTCAGGGTTAGGACTTTGAGATATGACTTTTAATGGGTCACCATTCAGCCCCTAACATCTATTTCCCTAAAGGTAGGTCACCTTTTCATATTAAAGTTGATCTGAGACGCGGGAGAATGTCTTTCTACATAGTTGCCACCTTTCCAATAAGTTACATTCACTCCCGTTTATTTACACTCATTCCCAAACTTTCATTCCCATTTTGGCTTTGCAGGCACAGATCCCATAGAAAGATGGCAGAGAAGGGTTGTGTTCCCTGGCGAGACGCCGCCTGCCTATGTAACCCGCACAGCTTGAGCTCCAGCACTTACCCATGGTGCAGGTTTCAGTATCTGACCCCAGTGGCCCACCCCCTGCCTTGGCCCTTGCCCTGACGGGTGGCATTTCCTCCCCTCCTAGTTCTCTTGCACAGAAGTGGGGAATTTCCCTAAGTCTGAGTGGCCTCCATATTCAAAGCAGAGACATCCCCCTCTTGAGGACCTCAGGATGGTGACCTCAGCTGTGGCAGCAGAAAGCAGCTGTGACAGTCCCGGGGAGGCCAGGCCCTGTTCTGCCCCTATTTGTATAAACAGGGCATTCATGGCTCATGACTTCAGGGGGACTCTCTGTTGTCTTAATCTCATTCTTGGAGCACATTTTCCCGCATGATACAGAAGGAGGTGGCATTTTACATTTACCATTAGACGATGTGAGTCATTGCAGCCCCACAGAGCACAGCTGCCCCAATGCATTCATTCCACAGTCTGCTGGCTGCTCTGTGAACCTGATGCACTCACAGTCTTTGTGCTCAGGCATTTCATGGAATAAAGAGGCTGCAGCATTTGGACAAAGGCCACCCTTGCTCTGGTGTGTTTGCAGAGCTCAGGGTGGTCTGCATTCCACAGTCTGCTGGCTGCTCTGAGGAGAAACTGACGCACTCACAGTCTTTGTGCTCAGGGACTTCATGAAATAAAGAGGCTGCAGCATTGGATGAAGGCCATCCTCGCTCCGGTGTGTTTGCAGAGCTCAGGGTGGTTTGCCGTGACCTGATCTCATGCTTGTGACTCAGCAGGCACATCTGCAATCTTCTTCCTTGTGCTGCATTTGCCAGTAGCATGGTATTCCTGATGCCTTGTATAGGGAAGTCCACTTGAGAGCGAAGGTAGGACCTGTTTATTTTGTACTTCTTGGTTGACTCCTCTCTTCAGTCAGAGTCCAGGTAGATAATTGGGGATGACGAGCAGACTGCTATTCTCACCTCAAGGCTGTCCTCGGCCCAAGGGAGCCACTGTGCCTCCTTCCAGCCCATTTCCACTCTAGCCAACACGAAGAAGCATGAGGAAAGCAGGTGCCTTCAAGACACATCGGAAAGCTGTGGAAATCAGTTCTGCTCCTAATGTGGGAGCCTGAACTTAGTCACATGCTTACAGCCAGGTGAAAAAAATGCTTGGATGCTCTTTACCAGGTGGCCATGTGTCCACACACATGCAGGAGTAATAAACATGTCTGGAACACTCTTCAGCGGGTGTCTGTGTGTCCACACACATGCAGGAGTAATAAACATGTCTGGAACACTCTTCAGCGGGTGTCCATGTGTCCACAGACATGCAGGAGTAATAAACATGTCTGGAACACTCTTCAGCGGGTGTCCATGTGTCCACAGACATGCAGGAGTAATAAACATGTCTGGAACACTCTTCAGCGGGTGTCCGTGTGTCCACACACATGCAGGAGTAATAAACATGTCTGGAACACTCTTCAGCGGGTGTCCATGTGTCCACAGACATGCAGGAGTAACAAACATGTCTGGAACACTCTTCAGCGGGTGTCCATGTGTCCACAGACATGCAGGAGTAATAAACATGTCTGTAACACTCTTCAGCAGGTGGCCATGTGTCCACACACATGCAGGAGTAATAAACATGTCTGGAACACTCTTCAGCGGGTGTCCGTGTGTCCACACACATTCAGGAGTAATAAACATGTCTGGAACACTCTTCAGCGGGTGTCCGTGTGTCCACACACATGCAGGAGTAATAAACATGTCTGGAACACTCTTCAGCGGGTGTCCGTGTGTCCACACACTTGCAGGAGTAATAAACAT